GGATATGGCGATCTATCAGTGATCGTTGTGGGCACCCCTGGCCTAACTTATCAACCCTATATGATAAAGTGGGATAGAGACTTAGGGTTCGCAGTAACTCCACAGCAATGGGAACTTATATGGCGCGCAGCGGCCAAGACCTCGATATGTTCAGTATATAGTGAAAACCTATATAAAATATTATACCATTGGTACTATACTCCTGAGGTACTACACTCCATCTCCACTATATATCCATCGACGTCCCCGAATTGCTGGAGATGTGACGGTGACATAGGTACTCTATTCCACATATTTTGGTCTTGCCCAATATTACAGCCTTTTTGGAAAATGGTGCAACACACACTTGAACACTTAACGGGTCACTCACTTCCCCTGGCTCCTATACACTACTTGTTAAGCCTCCCATTTCCACAATTATCGAAAACCGATAAAAAACTGGTGATGCATATATTTACGGCGGCTAGATGTTTGATATCATTACAATGGAAAAAAAACTTCCACCTTCTAGAACTGACCTATATGCCCACGTTAAAGAGGTCCAGTCAAAGAAATACGTATTGAATACTTAGCTTGATACGGCATAATAATCTATGTATGTTTCTTTTACTGTTAACACTACTGACTGGTTAATGTTTCATACACCTGTGAGTATTTTTATTACCAAATGTCATCTTGCTGTATTACATGACTTGACTTTAACCCCTTCGTGACGGGAGACGTACACTGTACGTCCAGCCACAAAGGGACCAAATGACTTGTCACGTACACTGTACGTGACGAGTTATTTGCTGCTTTAGAGGGCTGTTAATCGCTGAGAATCAGCTTTTAACATTCATTAATGGATGCCCTTACTACAGAGGCATTCATTAATGAAAGGGTTAACCTTTTTCAGACACCCGATACCTTAATATCGGGTGTCTGAGAGTCACAGCAGAGTGGACACAGATGCCGGCTTTTGCTGGCATTCTGACAGCTCGTATAGATCGAGAGATATCTCTCTCAAGCTATACTGGTTTTTTTTTTTTTCTTTCATGAATAGATACATAATGTGTCTATTCCTATAATGTATCTATTCCTGGAAGAAGAATGTTTGTTTGCTGATCGTTGTTGCAACAATCAGAAAACCTTTAGTAACAGCTGAATCCTGAACTGCTGCAGGATCAGTGTCACTAACTTATTATTGGCTGTTCTGAAGTTTGAAGCAGCCTGATAATAACCAAAAATGTATTAATTTATCAAGCAGTAACAGTGAGATTAATTCACAATGACTGCTTGATATAATTAAATAAATAAAATA